AGGTAGAAAATCTATTCCCTTCCTTCTCTCTGTCCCTGTACTGAAGGTACAAGACTTGTGTACACATACAGGATTTAATAGCCGTTTAGAGCGCTTGTGTGAAAGTCAAACACTTTTTCCCACAATCTAAAGAAAGATCCATCATTCACATGTGTTTACTTTAGGCAAAAAGCCCCAGTCTCTAAGTTAGTTTGTGTGTGTGTGTGTGTGTGTGTGTGTGTGTGTGTGTGTGTGTGTGTGTGTGTGTGTGTGTGTGTGTGTGTGTGTGTGTGTGTGTGTGTGTGTGTGTGTGTGTGTGTGTGTATCAAAGAGAGTGGCAGGAAGGAAAAGAAGAAAAGAATGGAGTGGTGAACGGTGAAAGAGGATACAGAAAGTATGAGTACACACACAACTCTAAAAGAAACCAGTTTTTTTTTAGTGTGTATGATGACAAATGAATGAATCAGGGACTGAGGAAGCGCCATGTAGCAAGATGTCCTGTATATGAAGCAAACAAATCAATCACATTGATATAAAATAATTAAAATACATTATATTAAGAGAGGGGGTATATTCAAAACCTTTAGACTTAGCAGCACAGTGACAATCAGGACAAAACACAAACAAGAATAGTATAACATTAATATAATTATATAAATACACAGTTTTCACAGTAACCTCCAAATGCATAAATCTAAATTCTACCTTGCTACATTCAATTAGTAATTAAAATGTTGAAAATAAAAACCTACATGAGCACAGAAACCAGAGGAATATCTTTTTTTGGTTGTGTATCTTCCCCAAAAAAAGAGTCCTGGGAAAAGAAGAGGTGTTCCTTTTCTGACTGACAATCACAACTTTCCAGAAATAAAGATAAGTTGTCTTATCACTGTGGGATACCGTTGTGCACGTGTTGTGTGCACATGTTCATTGGGGCTTGTTGTGCCTTCGTCACACGCAGAGACAACATCAGAAGTGTGCCTACCATCTCTTCAAACCTCAGAAGCCCACCACACTTGAAGCTGAAGTGCTTACCCACAGACCCTGAATGATAAAGAGATCATACAATTATGAAGCAGCAATAAAGAAGACAATCCAGACTATCAACCTGAACACTGTGCTACAATTGGCCCCGACATCTGTCTGTAGGGGGTCTCAGCTGCTGATTGGCCATGACCGGTTTTGCAGAGGGGCTTTTAATCCTCTCCACACTCTCTGTGGGTGCTCTTAGGGCTTTTCCCACATAAATCAGTCTGGCCTGGGTGGTAAAGTCATCACGTCCACTGTGTCCACAAACACTGCCTGTTAGCACCCCTATCACATGGAGCGTGCTAGCACTGAAAGGCCACCGAGCATGAAAGGAGGGCGCTTGCTGACCACACCAAACGTAGGCTCTTACTGGTAGCTCTACTTGATACTGAACAGTTGTTATGAAAGAAATGTCACTGTATGAATAGTATATGGGCCGCATTTATCTAGCACTTTTTTTCCATTTACACACTCCCACACCAATGGCAAGCGAGCTATAATGCAAGGTGCTGGAGCATCCCAATTTGGGATTCAGTGTCTTTCCCAAGGATGTATGTCAAGTATGAAAAATGTTCTGAGAAATGTTTAAATGTCCACCTCCACACGTTCCATGAGCTTTATCTCTCATACGCACGGTATTCAAAGTCACATTTTTAGAGAAATATTATGTTATGTTGGTCTAAGTGACCCCTGCAGTGTATGGACACACTCCCCTGCCTTGTGAGTGCAAAGCAAGACTGTGTTAAGAAGGATAGTGGTAGCATGAGCATACCATTTTGCCTCTCACTCATGGGTGGTCTTCACTTAACAGGCTTTGGTCAGCTTTCACTCTTGACACTGCAAACGTACAGTATCATTCACATGCAGCTCTGGATAAAAGCCTTTCTGTTAGCAATGTGCGTCACAATAGTGCATGTTATCCCAAGGTATCAAATGCTTAATGGGAGGAATTACAGAGTACTTTGTACAGCTGGGTATACAAAAACAGAAAGGTGGTGCTAGAAAGGCTGTCTCTATATTAAATGTGTACACTGCGATGTCCTGATCAAATTCAGTCTTGCTATTTCTTCAGATTTACATCTATTAATGATGAGCAATGCTAACAACTGTTCAAAGACGAGTGCTGCTCTCTTTCCAACAGAGAACAGAGTTATAAATCCTGACCTGTCACATCTTTGTGTGTGTGTGATTGGAGATCGCGAGAACTTCATCGCCAGGGCTTCCATTCTCACACTTTCTCTCCAGTACAAACAAAACACTGACTTATTTTTTGTTGTGTGAGTGTGTGTGTGTAGAGAGAGAGAGAGAGAGAGAGAGAGAGAGAGAGAGAGAGAGAGAGAGAGAGAGAGAGTAGGGAGAAAGAGGGTCAGTGACAGAAGAGATAACAAGGCAAAGATTTAACATGATTAAGAATTTATAAAAATTACAATTTACAGACTATACTGTCCCACAAAGAAACAAGAGGCTGTCCCTCGGGTGTTGTTCACACAAGATAATGTTCACTGTTCTCTTTCATTTCTGAAACAATCAAGGAAAGGTCATATTTCCAGAGGGAAGGGCTAGAGCAGCCACTTCCACTAATGAGTTCAGAGAGAAAGAAGACAAACAGGAATTTTCTCATTGGCTCTTTATTTTCTGGAGTCAAGCAGCACAGATTTTAATCCTCTCAAACAAGAGAAGAGGGAAGAAAATTGGAAGTCTTGTGGGGACCTTTCAACAGCACTGTTTGATTTTTTTTTGATTACACACAGGGGTTTGAGAATTTGAGAAGGCAGCATTGCTGAAATACTTGACGCCGATAAAAGAATATAAACAGGAGTACAACATATTCAAAATTCAGTCAGAAGAAAATTTTATTTGGACTATTAGAAAGTATGTTTGGTGCTCTTATAAGAAACAGGAAGATACACCTATCTTATCTGGATCATGTTAAGATATTGTTGCAATAACATGTTGGTTGGTAATAGCCTCCACTTGTGATATTTTAGTTGTAAAAAACATTGTTAGCCATGAAGAAGCCAGCAGGTGTTTTTTATGGAATGATCAAGGTCTTCAGTTTTCCGGAGGAATGAGGCACATGAGACATTTGTAGACTGCCTAGATAGCAACACACTGTAAATACAACTGTCTGTCCCTGAGCACACTGAGAAATCTTTCCTTGGGACCTTCTCCAACTGGAAGCCAGTCAAAACACTGCCAACACCTGCCAGAGTGAGCTGGGAGTACTACATCCCCGGGGGGGAAGACATATTTCACAGCCAGATGAAAACACAAAAACACAACTCATTACACCTAGTTGTAACATACAAAAAACTGGATTACACTTTACCTCCTTGTCAAGAGGTTTTCTCTTGCAGCTGTAGACACAGTCAGAAACACATGAGCACTTTTTTATCTCGGATACAAGCCTGTGCTAAGATGGTATGATCGGGTGGTATTTTAAAGAGGATTTTCAATCAGTTGCAGAAATATACAAGTGCTAATGAAGAATACAGGACTAAGTAATCATGCCATTGTGCACAAAAAGCTGAACACAGCTATTGAAAACTTTGCACTGCCCAACTTTCATCACACGGTGGGTGCCAAATTAAGCAGGTGTCTGTGAGGCCTAACAAGCTCTTTTCACTGACCCCTATAGATGACGTCACATGCACTAACGAACTTCACTCCAAACCAGTCTGCTACATTCATGGCCCTATGCCTGTAATTTATTCAAGGCCGGGACCAGGGATAGTGTGATGGAGAGGGGGAGACAGTGGTGTAGGGCAGTGTGCTTGAATATTAGTGTGCTGCCCTCCCCTGCAGAGAGAAACTGTGTCATAATGCCGGACTCCTTTTATGATTCAAATCAAGGCTATTGTCTCTGTAAGCGACCGGCTCCGCTCTGTGCCGCACAACAACCAAGCCACTATACACTGGCTGCAGAAAATGAGTCTACTGCCATAGGCTGAGGAGGTGCAGGCTGAGATAGCAGGACTGCAGCTCAGTACATGGGCCGTGGAGATAACAGGAATGCCTGCACTCTCTGCTATCATGTAAACACAATTCACTCTCTTATCCTCAATTCATCAACTGTAAACATACAAACAAACAAGTAAGCTTGCACAGGATTGGACACATTCGAGTCGACTGCCATAATACAGAAGCTACGTCTGTATAGACATAATCTAGGAGTTGTTTGTTTTTTTACTCAAAAGTAATGTAAATATTTGAAGACATTCGAAGCAGTTATCTTTGAATAAATACGTGAGCAGCATTTCATAGTGTAGTAGCCTGTGAAAACTCTAAAACAGTTCCATCAGTTATATTGCCAGCATACAAAATAACCACCAGACTTCACAGCAAAATGACTGAGTACAACCTCCTTCATCCAACCTCCAGAGTTTCTTTTTTTATATAAAAACAGGTCTTCTGCTGTTCAGGATTTGTAGAAAAGAATCATAAATTACAAATGAGACAGTTGCTAGAGGATAGTGGTTTTCAGGTTTTTCTCAGGTCTTCAGGACAATTCCTGGAATTTTTGGCCTTCCTAAGATTATTGTTAATTGCAGCTGTGCTAGGTCTATGAGCTAAATTTCTTTAAAACATTATGTTCACATTCCCAGTACTGAATTTGTTGCACCACACTGGCTTTAAAATAACTCACACAATCAACTGTTGATTCAATGCAGATCAAGGAGACAGAGAGAAATGTGCCTTTTCCTCTTAAATCTGCCAGCTGTGGTATGATGAAAGCAGCTTTTCAAGTAATGTCTCAGCAATTAAACTATTCCGTTTTTGTTGTGCGTGCGTGTGTGTGTGTGTATGTGTGGGTGGGTGGGTGCTGTGGGGGGGGTTGAAGCTCTGAGCACAGACTATCTCGTGTGGGGGTGAGCGGGAGGGAGCGGGGGAGAGCGAGAGCGAGAGAGAGCGAGAGAGAGAGAGAGAGAGAGAGAGAGAGCGAGAGAGAGAGAGAGAGAGAGAGAGAGGAGGCGGAGTAGACCTAGACGCTGGGACAGATCGGGAAGGAAAAGTTTTTCAAAAGTTTCAGGAGGTTATCCGAGAATCACAGCAGCCGTGGCCGAGCTGCGGAGGATAATACGGGATTGGGACCTAACGCTACGCTTTCCGGCTGACTTTATGAAAAAAAACCCAACGATTTTGGAGCCTTTATTTTTATGTGAACTTTATAAAGGATGTATTTCTACTAAAAGCCCAACTTGAAACGCTGGAAACTTTTCCACCGAAATGGAAGGGAATATTCCATGGATTATTTTGTCATTTTTATTGTTCATGCACATTTGTGACGGTAAGTCTAATTGATTCACTTTAAAGTTGAATATCCTTAGCACTAGAGGCTACGAGCCTGGACAGCCCGTCCACCGAACGGTTCCTAATAAAAATCGGGGCAACCCCTGATTATCCAGGCAATGAGCACTGATGTGTTTATGTGTGAAAAACCTTCTTATTTGTTTCTTTTGTGCAGTAGTTCATTAGTTATTTAAGTGACAAAGATCAACAATAATCTCAGAACGTTTAACAAACCCCTATGGAATAATTGAACCGCAACAGATAATTGTAGCAGATAGCCAGCAGAAGATGTTTAGCCATCACGTGTCAAAATATCACACACACACACACACACAATTGTTTCTGTGAATAAAGCTCACACTTCTATATGGGGGAAATAGATATTTTGCCATTTACATCTGCAAGGGATGGCTTTCTTTTGTTGCAGAAGTCTGATGGCACTTCATGAACGCTGCTGCTCCACCGAGTTAACAAACCCCCCCGGTGCAGAAAGAGTTCCTGTAACAACAGCAGCACTTTAAAAGTTTGGCTGAGAAGCGGGGGCTATTGCAGTGATGTTAAACGTAAATGTTTCCAAAGTTGTATTTATTTTATGTGAGGGGGCGGGGTGAAAATTTGTTAAAACTAAAGCACTGATGAGCCGAAGTTCCCCCTCCCTTTCTGAACAAAGACCTTTTAAAAAAAAAAACTGAGTGTCTTTTCCCTCAAAGCGGTTGAGCAATGATAGATAAGATGTATTAACGTCCCCAAGACAAACAAGTTTGCAAGCACAAACAATCTCAGCATTAGTCAGCGTGTATCTCTATCCGGAAAACACAAACCTTTCTGCTTTTGATAAAGTAAACAGCAAACATGCGGGTGTGCCTGCAAGATGCCACAAGTGCCAAAGCCTGCTAGGAAGACACTCTTTAAATCTGTATCAGTGAGTTTATAAGGGAGAGTTCAAAAGTATCTCATATACCTATATTGTTCCAATTCCAATTATTTATAGTTTTTCTGGGATTTATTGTTTGAAAGATTGCATGCTCCTCTTAAGGTTAAAGTGGATATCATTTGTCAGTTGTGTGGTTCCCTTACTAATTTCTCCATCTTCCACAGGATTCCGTTGCGTGGATAAATACAGACCTTGTGAAAATGGAGGGACATGCTTAGATTCGTCCTCTCGGTGCATGTAAGTGCAACATATGTCAAGATGTACAAGGATAAGACCTGTGGGCCAGAGTTTCCTTTCAGCAAAGCCTCCAATCTGAGTTTTTTCCTGCCTCAATCCTTCATAAACTCAGCTTTTTGAAAGGCATTCAAACCAAAAGTGTAGGCCTTGTGTGTAAATTGATTTACACAGGCTATTATTTGTCAGTTGGTTCTTTAATGTTTAGGGGAAAGACTGATTTCCAGTCTTATACTCAGTTTGAAACAGTGAATATGCCCTTTTTATATCCTGTTGAATGATATTTAAACAACACTCACATAATAGTGATGAAAGATAGGACAAATTGATTAGGCTTACACAGATGAGCATCTACGAGCCTCAACATGTTTGGCCACACTCATCTCTTGCACCTGTTAGAGATCTCTGTCAGACTTAAATCACTGCATTACTCTGCACATAGTATGAGTAAAGTTTTCCTTCATTTTTTCTCATTGTTTTTTTTTCTCCAATGTTATTTTCATTGTGTCATATTCTTTGATGTGTGGTGTAATTGCAATTATTTTTAAGCCTTTAAAAAAACTTTTTTGATTAACTGTCTTTGTTTCCTGCCTGCTTTGGGCATTTTGAGCCTTCACATCTTTTGACAGTGATAAGGCTTTTGTTTTTCAAATTGGTTAGGGGGGTTGTGTGGGAACCTATTACAATAGTCAAGTTAAATAGCCTACAGTGTCTTGCCTGGGGGTCATTTGTCCTTTTTTAAAAAACCTTTAGCTTAGGAAACATGCCTTGAGTGTTTTAGATGGAGGAGATAGTCACTGATAGAACAAAAACTCCTTGGTTGCCAGCTGCTTCCCTCCAAAACAGTATACATTTATTATTTTATTGGAGTTATTTGCAGTTTACAACACTGCAGGGGTCAAAGTTGAGCCAATACCATGAGTGCACTTTTCACAAGCAAATAATAAGGCATATATATTTATATATATATATATATATATATATATATATTATTTTTATTTTTTTCAAACATAAAAGTAGTGACATAGTTCTGTTTAGTGATTATTCTGCCAATAGTAGCCACCACACACTAGCCAATGTGTAACTCGACTGCATGTGGAACAAGTAACCAGCCACATTTTTTTAATCATTAGCTGGAGCCAAGATGGGTGAGTGTCATTAAGTGAGTAAATGTATAATTTTATGCTGCTAGGTCTTTTTTTTCCAGCATATCTCACATCATTTTCACAGCAAAGCATTTATTTTCAACCCCACACAGAAACAGCACTTCCTTACTACCAGTGAAAATTAACACCACACTCTCAATACACATTTATCTCCAGATTTAATACAGTCTCATCACAGGGTATGTGTTTTCTTTTGGAAGACACCATTCAGTCATCCTTTTGTGTTCCTTTAGTCATTTGTGCTGTGTACATGTATGTGTACATGTGTTAGTGATGTAGGAATTGGGCATGTGTAATCACTAAGCTGGTTCAGTGCCAAGAAAAAGAACCACTTAAAGTGCAAAGATAAAGGATTTCTAATGGAAGGGGACATCAAATGTCATACTACACAGAGTAGAAAGAGTCCCATACCAGGGCAGAGCAGTGGAGCGGAGCGTGGCCACCTGAGAGTGGTCAGACCAGTCGTAGACAGAGGTGACTGGCGGAGCCACCACCCCCCCTTTCCCCTGGGAGCCTACAGAAACAGGAGATCCAAAACAGCAGAAAAGATCCTTTCTTCTACCAGATACCTGCCTGTAACCTTGCACCATCAGAACAGGCCGTAGAAAGAGAGAGAGAAGAAAGGCCACAGCAAAGTGAGGCTAATACAGAGTAGAAAGACAGAAACAAAATGCACATACCCGTACATGTTTTGGCATTTGGAAGAAATTTGGAGAACTAGTAGAAAACAACCTTGCTTGAAATCACCACTGTTACACAGAACTCCACAGATGTTCATCTGTTCCTGCTTGTCCAACCACTGTTACTTATTTTTTCGTACATCAGGTAGCTCTCAAGTGACAGTAATACTGTGTGCATGGTAGCTACCATTGTTACTGCCCCACATACCAATGTATCCTCTGTCTTATTGGCACACACAACTTTGATACCCCAGTATAGAAAACAAACATGCAAGAAATCTCAAGTTCTATCATAGTTCTCTCTCTAGTTAGGTTTTTAATGCGTCTCTGAGTGTGCTGGCTTCCTCCTCGGCCGACTTAGTAAAGGTTGCAGGCCAGAGTTGCTGATAGGGGATTACAGTAGTAATCCTCAGAAAACTATTCAATTGAACAAACTCTCTGATACCCATTTCACCTGTTTCAGTGACCCATTAAAAATCATTTAATGCTTTTAGTCTGAATGAGTTGAGTATTCCAACCTGGCGTCATCAGCCCGCTCCCAACCTAAGTACTAACTTAAAATATATATTGGCTTGATTTGAAGAGTGGTGGTATTTCCTGCTTCTAAAGTGATCCAAAAAGTTACACAAAATCATCTGCAATGCATGTGCTAGTTTGTGGCTTCAGTGTACAAACCTTGCCGTGACCACTGTATCATCATCAAAGTCTAAGATCCTTTTTAGTGGTAACAAAAGTGCAGCTACAGTTGTAAAACAGGGTATTGTGGGGATAGGGAAATCCCTTTGAGTCAACTTGTGTTGACTATATGTTATACATGTATTTTTTTGTGAGAGAATAGTTTAATTAAGGAAGGTAAAATTAGTTTAATGAAGATGATTCCCATTGGCACTTCATAACTGTGTAGCTTATGCACAGAAACATGGCTCTGCGTCAGTCTGGTCGGAGTGTGGCTTTTAACAAACCAGAACGTAAAAGTTTCATAGAATAAAACTTGTAACACACAAGCAGTTCACTCCAAAACATAAAACTAATGGGTAAAATAAATTCGAAAAGTTGTTTATACTGCGGATTAATTTAAGTTCTGTTGGGTGTTGGTCCAAACCCCAGAGCTGCTGAACATCCTTCCCTGCTCAACCTGGCTTTGTTTGAGGGTAAGTGAGATTTTGTAGTTCTGTATATCTGCTAAAGACGTTGAGTTGCTCAGAAACACTAGCTCTGCCAACCAGCCTTTTCTGGTTACTGCGATGATAAACAAGCTCTAAACCGCACTACTCAGCACGGCATAGATTCAAAATAACTTGTAATGTGAAGCTTTTCAAAATGTTCCCTGTTCTTCTTGATACACAATAAATATTTTTAAAGTATTCTTTCTATGATCTCCCTGTGGCCCCGAGTTTTGAACTTGACAGTGAAGGGTTGATAGTGTCACAGAGAGTGTGGCCTTCTAGGTGAGCAGTCAGGAACTCCAGTTGAAGAGCCTTTGGCCCCTCGGCTCCGCCCTGTGAGCAGAATGTGCTGCCTAGAGAGCCGCAGTGGCGTGGCCGGAGTAGAGATAATTAGGCAGATTGAGAGGGTGTCATTCAGAGAGGATCCAGCTGGAGGGATCGGACTGGGGGTAGGGAATGGGTAGGGAGGCTGAGAAGGAGGGAGGGAGGGGGGCAGGGGAAGGGGGGTAGCGTAGAGGACAGCTGGTGGATGTTGTGATGGTAATCCAGTGAAGTCAGATCTTGACAAAGGGGAAGCATAGGGCCAGGTGCTGCCATTGAGCAGTCAGCCGCCCCCATACTGTGAGAGACAAGCTTGTGGAGGAATGAAGCCGGTAGCCCTCTAGCACATGTTGCCTCTCTCACAGTGGCAGGCAAGTCCACTCTTTCTCTCTCTGCGTGTTGTCCCAGCTCTGGCGGCTCATCCTCTGCCTCTGTCTCTCAACACAGTGCCAGATCACAGATTACGACCAACTCTTTCCTCTCAGATCCTTTAAACAGAATGGAAATAAATGTGGGGCTTCTCCATGGTGTGAGGCCCATGGATGGATACAGTGGTCCTCTTTATGTTATAAATGCTTGGCCCTTGGCCTCAGTAGCAGAGTTAGCATATAAATTGTGAGTTTTGTTATGACCCTGTCGCAACTCCCATCCTCTTAGAACATGATGAAAGAGGACATCTTTGACTTTAGTAGGGAGCAGGCTGTCTAGTACGTCTCTACGTGTGGAGTGCTGTTTCTCTTCTTAAAAATTTGTATCTGCTTACTTTATTTCACATTTGGAAAAAACACAGGCAAAAGCTAGAACTGTACATGTTGCAGATACTTTCCCCCCCCTTTTTTAATAATAAGAAGGAATAAGGAATTTTCTCATGGGAGGATAAAACATTTCAAAATGGGAATTATGGCACCTACAAATTAATTTACTCAAAAACAGAGAAAAAAAATGCATTTTGGGGGAACACAATTGACTAAGAAGTGGAAATATGCCAATGCACATATTTACTGACATACCGTAGCAAAGAGACAGATTATATTGTTAGCTTAGTTCAGAGCACCTCAGGGCTAGTGTTTTCTTTGGCATCTTTATGGTGGATTAGAAAGGAATGCTTAGTAAGATTCCTCCTGTCCCTCTGGTGCTTTCAGGTTATTGTCCATACCTCCCATCCATTCACCCTGGTAGCCCCTTCAGGAATGTCTTCAACAATACTGTCAGCCTAGTCGCATTGAAAATGGGATGTTTGGAATGACTTGTTTGATTTGCCATTAGTTACTTTGCAATTTTGCGAAGCAACAAATAGCCCATATCACTCAAGCTGTCCTGACACGCAGCCATTGTCATGTCATTATCCAGGAAAGTTGATGTATGGCAGACCCAGTAGTTTCAAATGACTTAAGAGTAGGACAGTGAAAAGATGAGTACTATCTGACCAAGAGGTTACACTATCATTGGGAGTAACATTTGGGTTTGTTGTCTCTTCTTCTCTCCGGGTCATGACTGGAGACTAGGAACTGTGGTTCCCAGGCCCCGTCATAGGAAGTGGTGCCTTCTGACCTCTCTGCTACGTACATCCTGTCTTATCAGAGAAGCTTATGTAGCTTACTCAGTGCACTAGGGTCTCCATGCTCCTCAACTTTCTCATGTTTTGCCTCATTTTATTTCATCCTCTTACC